GCACTGGCGTGCCATACAGTGCCTTGGATGGTTCAATGTAGCCAGACTCGAGCAACTCATCCAACTGCCTGGGCAGTTCAGTCAATTCTGAAGGCGCCATCTGGTATGGGGCCTGAGCAGGAGCCCTAGCACCCGGCTTCAACTCTATCATGTGATCAACAGCACGTCGAGGGGGCAACTACTTGGGAAGTTCTGGTGGCATCACCTCCGCATATTCCTCTACAATCTCAGCAACAGAATCCGAAACTTCAACAAACTGGTCCGGTTTGATCTCTATCACGGCTGCAAGAAAGGTAGAATCTCCTCTCTTCAAACCTGTTTTGACTTGCAGTGCAGAGATCATCTCGATGCCATACTTACGCTTTCCTTTCTTCTTATCCCGATAAGAACCCACTGATGGAATGAAGCATGAACAACCCTGTTCTGCAATAAAAATTCCTCCCAAATATGGCACCACAACCACTTTGGCTTTCACAAAGAAATCATTCCCAATGATTATACCAAAATCATCTAAGGGTACAATCATAAGATTGATTTCGCCCTCCCAATAACCAACTTTCAAAGAAGTGGCAGTCATGCCTAAGATAGGCTTGGCCTTTGAATTCACAGCCTTTATCTTTCTGGAATTACTAACTAACTTTAAATTAAAGTTACTTACTTCCCTCTGTGCAATGAAGTTATAAGTGGCCCCCGTGTCCACCATAGCCAACACTTCCTTGCCATTTAGAGTCACTTGAATGAAAATGAGTCCTTTCTGGAATAAGGACTGCTCTTTAGTAAGAACAGTCAGCAACTGCAGAGGATTGACTCGAGTTGGACTGTTCGACTCTGAATCTCCTTCCAAAGTCTCATCGATAATAACACTCAGCTTTTCCCTTTTAGGGCAGTCTCTAACACGATGGGGACCATTGCAGATAAAACAACAAGAGTTGGGCTTTGTCTCACTGCTGCTAGTCCCTTTGTTGTAATCTGCCTTCAACTTGCCAAAACCCCTGTCTTTATCCTTCTTGTTCTTGTCCTTCCTCTTGCCCTTAAACTTAAAGGATGGACCTTTGTCTTTCTTTCCCTCTTTAGACTTCTTCTTGTCAGTAGTTGTAGATATTGTCATCTTGAAATCTACCAGACAATCTGCAGTAGGAAGGTCCCTCACACCTTGCCTACAGAGTTTTGCCTGAGCCCATGGTTGTAATCCAGACATGAAATTGAACAGTTTGTCTTCCTCTAACATATTTCGAATATCCAACATCAAGGAACTAAATTCCTTCACATAGTCACAAACTGTGCCTGTGTGCTTCAATTTCGTCAGAGATTTGCTTGCAATCCATGCAATGTTCTGAGACAAGAATTGATCCTTCAATTCCTTCTTCAGGGTCTCCCAAACTTCAATCCGAGGCCTGTTTGCAGAAGCATCATCCTTTGCCTGTGTGCACCACCACAATTTTGCATCACCAAGCAAATACATGCTTGTAATGGTTACCTTCTCGCCATCAGGGATCTGAGCGGCCTTGAAATACTGCTCCATGTCCCACATTAAATTTTTCGAACTCTTTGGCATTTCGTGTACCACTGAAAGACTTGGGATTCGTCACCTTAATCTTTTGTGAAAGAGGATCACCAGTGCCTCTAGAACTCCCATGAATGGCCTCTTCACCAGGGACACTTCATCTTTAATATCCTTCAGATTCTTCTTGAAGACATCTGTCAAAGACTCGACATCTTCAATAATACGGGTTAATTGCTCTCTAGTGGCCTGCATGAAATCACCCATACCTTCATAATCGTTCTTCAAGATCTGCACTTCAGAAGCTAAGATTTCAATTTGAACAACAAGGCTTTCTGCATCATCTGCCTCGGTTTCTATATGAAAACCTACAAAGTTCTTGAACCGGGAAACTCTCTCTCTAGTATTGCCTCCAGCCATCGTAGAACAGGACTCTGATACCAATTGTTACAAGGATGAATCACACTATGAATTTTTTTCTCTATAATGGCACTTAGGGCCACCAAGTCTTAGCCAACACAAAACACAATACAGAACTACAAAGATAGGCACACACAGTATACAGGACCAAGTCCCAACCTTTGATCTTATTAAACATAATACAAAGGACACAATTTTGTATAAAGAACAAAGGCTCTCATTTCATACACTGCAATGTACACTCCCTGCCTAATCCAAGCCCCCTGCATCCCAATATATAGGCACTCTGCAAAACTGTCTACAATTGGTCTGTCTGTGTCTATATCTATCTAGACACTACAAATAAGGTTGACAAATCCAACCTTCTAGCCACTAAAGAATCAGAGGAGTCCGCAAATCTCAACGAATTGCTTTGAGTTATATATATATATTTGATTAATGAATGATGATACTGATTGATGATGTTATTTTGTTTTGTTTGGTTGATGTTTGCTTGAAAGTTCAGATTTATGTGGTTCTGTAGAATCAAAAAATTAGAATTTTCAAATTTAATCGGTTATGGGGCAGTTGCGGGGTGGGGGCGGGGCAAGCGGTGGCGGGGAGGGGGCAGTTATAGGGGTTGGGGGTAAAGAAAAATCATTTGGGCGGTTTTGGGGGTGCAAAATTTAAACGAGGACTGGGATGGGGATTGAGACACCCGCCCCAAACCGCCCCATTGCCAACCCTAAACACAATACAACCTTAAACACAAACCCTTTCTTTTCTCTTTCCTCATCTATTTTCTCTCTCTAATCGCCTCCCAATTCTTTTCCCTCTTTCCACTCCAATCAGTACCGATCTCTGAGCTTTTCATCCGCGTTTGGTTTGCGTTTCGTTTTCTTCGCTGCCCTGTTGTGTGTTGATTCACGCTGCTGATTGTAATTATGTTTGTGATTGTATGTTTTCTTTGTTCTCGAAAATGCTGAAAACCAAGTCATTACACTTACATTTAGAGTTTAAGATGAGGTTTTAGTTTTCAAGGCTTTCTAATGAAGAATGTTTTTAATATTTGAAGTTTTGCCCTTCCTGGATTGTTGGATGCTCTGTTCTAAACTTATTTCTCAATCAATCAATTTTTTGTGCTTGTGGGTTAATTTTATCCTGTTAATTTGTCCATCCCTTTTCATGTATTCTTGTTTCATGGCAGTTTCAGCTTGTAGGTATTAGTGGGATTGGTATTTTATCTTTAAAAACATATACTAAATTTATGCAAATTTAAGTCCTACCTATATATACACTAGTAAAACACACGTGCGATGCACGTGATGAAAAGTTCTTTTATAATTTTAATTAATATAAAAATTCTGATCCAACGTCGTTTCCTGTAACAAAGAGAGATGCTAGCCCTTGTCGACACCGGTGTGGTGCTTGCCAACGGTTCTCCAACGATCAAGTCAGAATGGAACCTATAAAATTTAAGCAGAAAATATATTAATTAATTCTTGCGTACCTCTTTGGCTTGACAGAACTATGCTCTTATAGCAGGTAGACGTCATCCGTTACGAGTTGTTTAAACCTGGTCATCCAACTTTATCCGTATCGTTAAAATACCCTAATTCAAATTATCCTTATCAATTGCCCCTCATTCCCGAGCTTGCTCATCAAGCGTGGAGAATGTCAGACACTATTTTTCTTCTTTTTTTGGGGTCGAGTTGTTTTTAATCAGAGTTAAGCATGTATTATTGCTTCAATCTTGTTCCTTTATCAATGGAAGTTGTTGTACTCAGCTAATCCTCAAGGAGTAGTTATTCCGAATTTCACTTAACTCGTTTGGATAGTAAGATAAGTAAAATTTGTCGAACTTCACTCAGCACACTTTTAATAAGGGAAGCATATTCTACGAGCTCCACCCAGCTCGCCTTTTAAAAAGCAAAGCATATTTTACAAGCTTCACTCAGCTCGCCCTTTAATAAAAAAAGTATATTTTACGAGCTTCACTCAGCTAGCCCTTTAATAAGGGAATAGGCTTTTTCTGAGCTTCATAGACTCACCCTTTAATAGGGAAGTAAGCTTTTACTAAACTTCATGAGCTTCTCCCTTTAATAGAGGAGGTTGATTTTATTAAGCTTCGTAAGCTTCTCCCTTTAATAAGGGAGGTTGATTTTACGAAGCTTCGTGAGGTTCTTCCTTTAATAATGGAGATTGATTTCATTAAGTTTCGTGAGCTCTTCCCTTATATAGGGAGTTCTGTCTGTGTTTATATCTATCTAGACATTAGAGATAAGGTTGACAAACCCAACCTTCTAACCAACTAACCCAATCAAACTCGTCCAACACACCATAATAAGTTTCTCCCTCAACCACCTATCTGTGTCGAACATATAGATACATATATTCAGTTGGACATCTCCTAACTTACTGAAAACCGACCAATAATAACATGCCACAGCAATAACTGAAATAAGCCATATAGCATATCTGTTTATGCTATCACAACCGAATATAAGTCACAAGGTATCTCTGGAACAACTGATCATATCTCAACTGCTCCCACATGCCTCCTTCAGATTGGTTGGTTAGAGTGCACACACATTCCTTACCCTTTAGGGGGGAGGGGGGGTGGCAATAAAAACCACTACAAATCTTTAATCAGACATACAAGATTTGTATTGGTTTACACTTCCAGCCTCATTTTCTTGATACTATAGAACCTTATAAGGAACACACACTCGTCGCTTTTTATGCTCCATGCGAACCTTATCTATCCAATTTGCCTTTCCCCATGGATTGATCAACTCATGATTGATTTTCTAGTCAGTGTTAAACGTATAATCCTTGTGATGATATCCCAAATGATGGCAGAGAGCCACAAAGTATTGAAATCTCTCTTCCTCATTCAATAACAAAGGGTGTTTCAATAGACTAGATGCTCTGTAAAATTAACATGACCAATTGACTTGAAGCAATAAATGAATCAAAGATTGAAAAAACTAGTATATACCAAGAGAAATAAATAAAAAAACTTGGAGCAATAAAAGAATATAAGGGCAATAATTGAATAGATTAAAAGAAATGTTCATATAAAATTCAAAGAACATACTTAGAGGTCTTGTAATTGCAGAATGGATTCCGATCGTGAGGCCTAGACGGATGATTGTTTAGGCCAATGTGACGGAATATGAACTTTTTGAAATTTTCCAGGTCTTCCGTTTTGCATCTTTCCTCCCCGCATAACATATGAGCGGTCATGTAGAACATTTCCATGGGCTCTACCCATTTTATGTAGATACCCTATTGTAGCTAGAATGTTTCTGGAATTGATAATAAAAAATTGTATGATTATAATATACTACTCAAACAAAGAAAGGAGTTTTTGAAATAAAAAAATATTCTTACCTCATCGATTCAATCCAGAACTCCTTGAATTCATAGTCGTCGGATGTGTTTACAAAGAAAGGCTGACTCTCACGATGTGTTTCCAAGCTTCAACCACTCAACAAAATAGGAATCAAATCCTTCATGACTAATCACAGTCACTTCTTGGTTGAAGTCCACAGCAACATCAGTCGGTCTCAACAGATATGGAGTTCTGAAGTCCTTCAACATCAGTATTGAATCAATGGCTACTCTCTGATATCTCCCTTTTCTGCGCAAACACCAAAATCGAGCATCTTCTTTCCTTCGTCCATGTTTTACTATTACTCCCTTCCACAGTTTTTCCGCCCAGGCTTCTTTGCATTCAATTCAAAATAATAGCTCCTCAAACCAGATCTGTAACCTTCTAGTATTGATTCTTTATCCTAAAAATTTCAACATTATAACAATTAGAACTATATTGGAATTACAAATTGAAATAACATTAGGCTAGAACTTGAATTATACCTTAGCTTTACCAACCAAGTCTTAGCCTGTTCTCTCATCTTTATATATGAACGGTCTATTTGGTAATCTTCAAGATCAGGTTTTGGTTCTTTATCGAGATCCATAGTACCGACATCAAAACAATCATACTATTAAAAAATAAAAATAAATTACGGTAATTGATCACAAATCACAGAAGTCAGTCACAATAACACAGAATAACATAATTGCAACCCCATAAGTAACTAAACAGTGTATGTATATCAGGGTGGAACCCAAAATCACCACTCAGTTTGCATTGTTCCTTCATACAATATACATTCTCAGTTCAATCACTTTTGCATAATTAATCTCATCAAAATATAACATAAACAAAAATAAATTATACGTTAACAGTAATCACTAAGGTTACAGAAGTGAAACAATAACAAAATAATTAACATTAGATGAAACCCCCAATCTGCAACCAATTTAATGAAACAAGAACAATTTAAAGAAAACCCCCAATTATGAACCGAAAATATCTACCATACAAATCACGACACAAACCAGCCAAATGATAAACCCTAAACCCCAAATAAGAAATGTAAACCTACCGAGATATAATATGGTCAAGATTACTTACAAATTGATGACGATCAGCGAACAAACACAACACAAACCCTAGTTTCTGCACAAGAAATTGCTGTGATTCAGACTTTCTTGCGATTCAGACTTTCTTGCGATTCAGACCGGTCGTGGAGCCTAATTTAGAGTTATTATCATCATCTCCATTCAGGTTGAAAGAATTCCTCTCCGGTGACCGAAAATGGTTCAGTTCTGAGTTTCTAATCACACATTTTCAAACACATATGGATACAAGGAGAGATAAAGTTGGAATAAATCAAATGACGAGATGAACAAAAGAAAGAAACATGTATAAAAGATCGATTCATGCAAAAGGAGAGAGAAGAGAGAGAGAGGATGAACATACCTTGTCACGGTGTCACCTGAGCCTGAAGCGATACATAGGCTGCGTCCTGCGGAGTGTCGAAGCAGATTGTGTCGTCTGAAAAACTTGCCCTAACTTATATTTTTTATTTTTTTTTTCCCATCCCCTATGGGCCTCAAATTTTGAGGCCCAAGCCAACCAAGACTTGCCGTAACTTAAATTTTTTATTTTTTTTTATATCTAAATGTAACTAATGTATCTCACCATAATATTATAATAAAATATAATAATAATTTTATTATAAAATTACAATTGTAATGATCGTGATTTTTTTTCATTTTTTATTTTATGGTATTTTTTTCCATTTTTTGGGATTATTTTGGTCTGGTGTCATTTTGCGTGCCGGACACCGTGGTGTGCGCCAGGTGTGTTTGATAGTTAGTTGAGGCACTTCCTTGAGTTCAGGACTCTTGGAAATGAATTGGTTGCCATTTCGACATTTTTCTCATTTTTTTTTTTTTTTTTGTTGGACCAGGTGGGACCCGCTTGGAATTTTATTTAGAGTTCATTGCATTGCATGCATTATTTATACATGGTTAAGTGTTTAATTGTGTGGTGGTATTATGTTGAGAGTATATATATAAGTTATTAAATTAAAAATATATATATTTTTTATGCCACGGTACCCACCATGGTAATGAACCATTACAAATGGTCTTAGGATCAATTACGGACCATTACTTTCTCTCCCTCTGCCACGATTTTCTCTCCCCCTCTTGGTTCTATATTTCTTTCTCTTTTTGTTACAATTTCAATCTTTCATTTCTCCATAACCATAAAGATTTTGACTTGCGCGTCGAGATCTACATTTTATTCGTAGCAGAGTTCCGTTTAGCCACCATTTGAATTTCGAGTTTGGGCTAAGTTTTGAGGCTTTTCTTCTTTATTGAGGTAGGAGTGTTCTAATTCACACCATCTTTGATTTTAGTGAATTTTCTTCCTTTAAATTATTTCTAAGCATGTTTAAATTAATTATTTTGCTTATGGTATGGAGGGATTTGTGTATCAATGTGTTTTATGTAATTAGTTGGTTGAAAATATATGTTAATTGGATTAATAAGACGAAGCATGTTAAGCTGAAATTTGTGTTTGCCTTGAATGTGCATAAATGTTGAGATTCTATTTTGTCAATACATGAGTTCATTTTTTGTGAACTTTCTTGAAAGCATGCTATATATATTGTTGTGGTTGATTGCAATTTATGGAAAATTTGAATTTATTGTCATGGTTGAGGATGGCATGAAGCATTCATGCATTTCATTGGGAATGAAAGGGAAATGCTGTTTTAAAGCAAATGAAATAAATTTTGGAAAAATTATTTTGAAAAATGTTTATGAAAACCTGGACGCTTAGGAGGTGCCTAGTGGTCTGTGGCGTTAATGTGATCTAGAAAGAACTAGGGAGAGACCCTAGCGTGGTTGAGATACTTAGGCCTAGAACGACACCATGGAGGTGTCATGTGGTCGGGGATAGCTAGCCAATCCTTCCTCGTGGCGCTACAGAGGTGCTATGGGTCGGGTTGCATTAACGGTTTGGAACAGCGAAACGCAATTGTTTCGGAAAATAGGGAACAACATTGGCATGACATTGCACTTCATTGGCATACATTGTGTAATTTGTGGTTGGATGACCTATATACATACTTGTAATTGTTGCTGCGATATCCCCTATGGCATGATCCCGTTTACTTGTATTTTGTCCCTTGTATGGATTCACGGGGTCATTAAGAGGTGTGTTTTAGACACCTCTTACTGAGCGACTGGCTCACCCCATCATATTATTATATTTTTTCAGGTCACGAGAAGGAAGTGGCAGACGACACTCCTCCACAAGTTTAAATGGGTTAGTGAACTGTTTTGACATCTTTTGTACTTATGATCTCATTTTTTTGTATAAGCCTTGGGATGACACATATATTATGTATCGACCTTAGAATTGACCATAGTGCCCTTAGACGACCTCACGTTTGAGTAAGAACCCGGTTAGCAATTCAGACCCTCGGGTTCGGGTCATTACAATAATATTATAATGAAAAGATTTAGATCTATACATATATATTTAGGAATGAGTTAGAAATAAAATAAAATAGAAAAAGTAAAGTTGTTTTGACCTTCAAAAATTCTGAGCATAATAGGATTTATTTTAATTGGTAACTTTAGGTTTAGGAAAAAGTTAGAAATATAATAAAGTACAACGTTCAGAGCCCTCTAGTAAAGTGTCTTACATCTCCGACTAAGGAGGAGGAAATTGTAATCAATAAAAACCCTAATAGGCTTCTTCTAAGCGACGCACAGAGAATCTCTTCTACAATTTCCTCCTCCTTCGCCGAAGAAGTAAGAGACTCTCTACTAGAGGGCTCTGAAAGTTGTAGGAGAGACTCTTTGTGCGTCGCTTACAAAAAGCCTATTAAGATTTTTATTCCCCACCCCCCTATTAGGGTTTTTATTACAACCACCCAACAGTAAGGAATGCCCGAAGCCTATTAGGGTTTTTATTGCCACCGCCCCAATGGTAAGGAATGCGTGTGCGCTTTAGCTAGGTCTAAAAGGACATTAATATCTCAAGCAGCCCAACTGGATTGAAACTTGGGCTTTTAAATTTACAAATCGGGCTCAAATTAATTAGATTTTATTAAAACCTAATCTTATTCGGATTGGATTGGGTTTTAATAAAATTTAACTAATTTGAACCCGATTTGTAAATTTAAAAGCCGATTGGATTGTGTTCAATCCGAACCCAACCCAATCTTACAAACACAATTAGGGATGGCAAATATCCCCAACCCGGTGGGGAAACACCCCGCCCCTGCCCCAGCCTCATTTACAACGGATTTGGAAAACCGTTTAGTTAAATGGAGTGGGGATGGTGATTTAAAAATAATAAAAAAAAAAGGCCGATTTTGGAGCGGGAACGGGGGAGTCCAATCCCCGCCCCGAGCCCGCCCCCGATTAGTATATAAAATTATTAATTTACCCCTACTATGCTATTATATTTACAAAATTAACCTACACTATTTATGAATTTTGGAAATCCTGGACTACAGTTCGCTTCCTATATTCCTAATGACAGTGAGGCAGGTGTAGGAGGCGGCACTAATAGATCTGACGAAAGAAAAAAAAAAAAAAAAAAATAGCAAGAACCAAGGACGAAACAACTAACAAGTACTCGAAACTCCTACCATCCTACACTCCCTCCCGCCTCCTTCACCATCTTCATCCACTGCCTCAGCCGACGTCCACCTGTTTTTGCAGATGCTTTTCTTTTCTTGTTAAATGATCACTTACATTACATTGTGTACTCAATCCTGGATACTTGGAAGTCCATTGATTTGTTCACACAATAAGATCCACCAATTATTTTTCTTGCAATTTTATGGTTCTGATTTGAAGTTATTAAAGGTGAGATTGCAATTTTGTTAATATTTAATTTTGTTAATATTTGATTAAAGAATCAGAGGAACCCGCAAATCTCAACGAATTGCTTTGAGTTTTATATATGTATGTGTATATATATATATATATATATATATATATACACATACATATATATAACTCAAAGCAATTCGTTGAGATTATATATATATTTGATTAATGAATGATGATACTGATTGATGATGTTATTTGGTTTTGTTTGGTTGATGTTTGCTTGAAAGTTCAGATTTATGTGGTTCTGTAGAATCAAAAAAATTAGAATTTTCAAATTTAATCGGTTATGGGACAGTTGCGGGGTGGGGACGGGGCAAGGGGCGGCAGGGCAGGGGCGGTTATGGGGGTTGGGGGTAAAGAAAAATCAATTTTTGGGCGGTTTTGGGGGTGCAAAATTTAAACAGGGACGGGGATGGTGATTGAGACACCCGCCCCATTGCCATCCCTAAACACAATACAACGTAGAACACAAATCCTTTCTTTTCTCATTCCTCATCTTTTTTCTCTCTCTAGATCGCCTCCCAATTATTTTCCCTCTTTCCACTCCAATCAGTACCGATCTCTGAGCTTTTCGTCCGCGTTTGGTTTGCGCTTCGTTCTTTCCGCTGCTCTGTTGTGTGTTGATTCACGCTGCTGATTGTAATTATGTTTGTGATTGTATGTTTTCTTTGTTCTCAAAAATGCTGAAAACCAAGTTATTACACTTACATTTGGAGTTTAAGATGAGGTTTTAGTTTTCAAGGTTTTCTAATGAAGAATGTTTTTAATATTTGAAGTTTTGCCTTTCCTGGATTGTTGGATGCTCTGTTCTAAACTTATTTCTCAATCAATCAATTTTTTGTGCTTGCGGGTTAATTTTATCCTACTAATTTGTCCATCCCTTTTCATGTATTCTTGTTTCATGGTAGTTTCAGCTTGTAGGTATTAGTGGGTTTGGTATTTTATCTTTAAAAACTTATATTAAATTTACGCAAATTTAAGTCCTACCTACATATACACTAGTAAAACACACATGCGATGTACGTGATGAAAAGTTATTTTATAATCTTAATTAATATAAAAATTGTTGACACATAAATCTGTATGATCCGATCCAACGTCCTCTCCTGTAACAAAGAGAGATGGCAACCCTTGTCGACACCGGTGTGGTGCTTGCCAACGGTTCTCCAACGATCAAGTCAGAATGGAACCTATAAAATTTAAGCAGAAAATATATTATTTAATTCTTGTGTACCTCTTTGGTTTGACAGAACTATGCCCTTAGAAGGTAGACGTCATCTGTTAAGAGTTATTTAAACCAGGTCATCCCTCTTTATCCGTATCGTTAAAATACCCTAATTCAAATTATCCTTATCAATTGCCCCTCATTCCCAAGCTTGCTCATCAAGCGTGGGGAATGTCAAACACTATTTTTCTTCTTTTTGTCGGGTCGAGTTGTTTTTAATCAGAGCTAAGCATCTATTATTGCTTCAATCTTGTTCCTTTATCAATGGAAGTTGTTGCACTCAGCTAATCCACTAGAAGGAGTAGTTATTCCAACTTTCACTTAACTTGTTTGGTTAATAAGATAAGTAAAATTTGTTGAACTTCACTCAGCACACCTTTAATAAGGGAAGCATATTCTACGAGCTCCACCCAGCTCGCCTTTTAAAAAGCAAAGCATATTTTACAAATTTCACTCAGCTCACCCTTTAATAAGGGAAATATATTTTATGAGCGTTACTCAGCTAGCCCTTTAATAAGGGAATAGGCTTATTCTGATCTTCATAGACTCACCCTTTAATAGGGAAGTAAGCTTTTACTAAACTTCATGAGCTTCTCCCTTTAATAGAGGAGGTTGATTTTATTAAGCTTCGTAAGCTTCTCCCTTTACTAAGGGAGGTTGATTTTACGAAGCTTCGTGAGGTTCTTCCTTTAATAATGGAGATTGATTTTATTAAGTTTCGTGAGCTCTTCCTTTATAAAGGGAGTTCTGTTTGTGTGTGTATCTATCTAGACATTACAGATAAGGTTGACAAACCCAACCTTCTAACCAACTAACCCAATCAAACTCGACCAACACACCATAATAAGTTTCTCCCTCAACCACCTATCTGTGTCGAACATAGTTGTCAAAGGCGCCGGAGGCGCGCGCCTGAGGCGCCAGGTTAGCGCCTTGAGTGTACTCAAGGTGGTTAGGTTATATAAGGTGTGCGCATTTAAGAGCAAGGCGCCAGGCTACAGGCGCTAGAAAGGCGCGCCCGCATGAAACTTTTGTTTTTAACTTCTTTTCATTATTTTTTTTGTTTTATTTGTGACTCTGTATTGTTATATTATTTGTATTGTATTATTTTATTACTTAATTAAGTAGAAAGCTTAAAGCCAAAGCCTATTGCAAGTTTGCAACATAAAAAACAAAAAAAAAAAAAAGAAGCAGAGGAAAGAAGAAGACAGACTGACAGAGGCAGCGAAGTACTCACTCGGGACTCTCGGATCTGCGTTGGCTCTCTCCTGGCAGGTTAGTTCTTCTTCTTCTCTCCTTCTCTTTTTCTTCTCTCCTCCTTCTCTTCTCGGATCTGCCGTATCGGTGATTCGGTCAGATTTTTTTTTTTCTTTTCTTCTTCTTCTTCTTCTTTTTTTCTCTCGAGTCTGGGGCCTCTCGGCTCTTTCTTGTCGGATATTTATGTCTTTATTTCTATTTTTCTTCTTCTTTTTATTTTTTTATTTTTTATTTTATTTATTTATTTTCCTCCAGTTTTATTCTTCTTTTTCTTTTTTTCTTCTTTTCTTCTTCTTCTCTCAAGTCTCAGCTTTCTCCTGGTAGATTTTTTTTTTTTCTTCTTTATTTATTTATTTATTTTTTCTTCTCTTCTCTTGAGTCTCGGCTCTCTCTTTTTTCTTCTTTTTATTTATTTTATTTATTTTTTCTTTCTCCAATTTTTTTTTTGTCTTTTTTTTGTCTTTTTTTTTTTTTTTTTCTTTTTTTCTTCTTCTTCTTCATTTTATTTATTTATTTGTGTGAGATACTTTATATTTACCTGATTTATTTGTGTGAACAGTTGTATTTGTTCCATTCTAACATGTTGTTGGTTTGAGGAAATGCATTTTTATCTAATTTTGTTAAAATGAAATAATTAGTTAAGTGTACTCTAATTTTGTAAAATCTTTGTATACATTGTTGGATCGAAATTTTTGGCAGCTTCAACTTTTGTGATAATTAATATTCTTGAGTATTAAGGACCATTAGGTACAAAGAAGATAAAAAAGTGCTTCGCATATATACACTTTCCTAAGGTAATGATTGAGTTAAATCCATGAAGAGCTGAATAGAAAGTAACTAATATTTTTGGTGTAATCATGTGTCACGGACTGCTTTTTCTCCAAATTCTTTTGCTCTTCACTAAATTATACTTAAGCTCGGTGAAAATGGAAACATGTAAATTTTGCTCTTTATGTTTGATTATTCACTGTTTTGAACTCAAGTACTTGATTTACTTGGTTTTAACATCTTTATGTTAAATATTTAACTTAAATAATCCATTTAGTTGATTTTTACATCTTTATATATACTATTGCATCTTTAATACTTTATTGGGTGAGTTTTGTTTTGTTTTTGTTTTTTTTTTTTTTTTTTTCCCAACATGCGCTTTGCTTCAGTCGGGCACGCGCCTCGCCTTACGCCTCAGGCTCCGGGAGACATTTGCGCTTTTGTGCGCCTTGAGCCTTTAACAACTATGGTGTCGAACATATAGATACATATATTCAATTGGACATCTCCCAACTTATCAGAAACTGACCAATAATAACATGCCACAGCAATAACTGAAATAAGCCATATAGCATATCTGTATATGCTATCACAACCGAATATAAGTCACAAGGTATCTCTGGAACAACTGATCATATCTCAACTGCTCCCACATGCCTCCTTCTGATTGGTTGGTTAAAGCACACACACATTCCTTACCCTTTAGGGGGGAAGGGGGGGTGGCAATAAAAACAAATACAAATCTTTAATCAGACATACAAGATTTGTATTGGTTTACACTTCCAGCCACATTTTCTTGATAGCGTAGAACCTTATAAGGAACACACACTAGTCGCTTTTTATGCTCCATGCGAACCTTATCCATCCAATTTGCCTTTCCCCATGGATTGATCAACTCTTGATTGATTTTCTAGTCAGTGTTAAACGTATAATCCTTGTGATGATATCCCAAATGATGGCAGAGAGCCACAAAGTATCGAAATCTCTCTTTCTCATTCAATAACAAAGGGTGTTTCAATAGACGGGATGCTCTGTAAAATTAACATGACCAATTACTACTGACTTGAAGCAATAAAAGAATCTAAGATTGAAAAAACTAGCATATACCAATAGAAATAAATAAAAAAACTAGCAATATAAGAATATAAGGGCAATAATTGAATAGATTAAAAGAAATGTTGATATAAAATTCAAAGAACACACTTAGAGGTCTTGTAATTGTATAATGGATTCCGATCGTGAGGCCTAGACAGATGATTGTTTAGGCCAATGTGACGGAATATGAACTTTTTGAAATTTTCCAGGTCTTCCGTTTTGCATCTTTCCTCCCCACATAACATATGAGCGGTCATGTCGAACATTTCCATGGGCTCTACCCATTTTGTGTAGATATCCTACTGTATCTAGAATGTTTCTGGAATTGATAATAAAAAATTGTATGATTATAATATACTACTCAAACAAAGAAAGGAGTTTTTTGAAATAAAAAAAAATATTCTAACCTCATTGATTCAATCCAGAACTCCTTGAATTCAAAGTCGTCGGATGTGTTTACAAAAAAAGGCTGACTCTCAGGATGCGTTTCCAAGCCTCAACCACTCAACAAAATAGGAATCAAATCCTTCATGACTAATCACAATCACTTCTTGGTTGCAGTCCACAGCAACATCAGTCGGTCTCAACAGATATGGAGTTCTGAATTCCTTCAACATCAGTATTGAATCAATGGCTACTCTCTGATATCTCCATTTTCTGCGCAAACACCAAAATCGAGCATCTTCTTTCCTTCGTCCATGTTTTACTATTACTCCCTTCCACAGTTTTTCCGCACAGGCTTCTTTGCATTCAATTCAAAATAATAGCTCCTCAAACCAGATCTGTAACCTTCTAGTATTTGATTCTTTATCCTAAAAATTTCAACATTATAACAAGTAGAACTAAATTTGAATTACAAATTGAAATAACATTAGGCTAGAACTTGAATTATACCTTAGCTTTACCGACCAAGTCTTAGCCTGTTCTCTCATCTTTATATATGAACGGTCTATTTGGTAATCTTCAAGATCAGGTTTTGGTTCTTTATCGAGATCCATAGTACCGACATCAAAACAATCATACTATTAAAAAATAAAAATAAATTACGGTAATTGATCACAAATCACAGAAGTCAGTCACAATAACACAGAATAACATAATTGCAACCCCATAAGTAACTAAACAGTGTATGTATATCAGGGTGGAACCCAAAATCACCACTCAGTTTGCACTGTTCCTTCATACAATATACATTCTCAGTTCAATCACTTTTGCATAATTAATCTCATCAAAATATAACATAAACAAAAATAAATTATACGTTAACAGTAATCACTAAGGTTACAGAAGTGAAACAATAACAAAATAATTAACATTAGATGAAACCCCCAATCTGCAACCAATTTAATGAAACAAGAACAATTTAAAGAAAACCCCCAATTATGAACCGAAAATATCTACCATACAAATCACGACACAAACCAGCCAAATGATAAACCCTAAACCCCAAATAAGAAATGTAAACCTACCGAGATATAATATGGTCAAGATTACTTACAAACTGATGACGATCAGCGAACAAACACAACACAAACCCTAGTTTTTGCACAAGAAATTGCTGTGATTTAGACTTTCTTGCGATTCAGACTGGTCGTGGAGCCTAATTTAGAGTTATTATCATCATCTCCTTTCAGGTTGAAAGAATTCCTCTCCGGTGACCGAAATTGGTTCAGTTCTGAGTCTCTAATCACACATTTTCAAACACATACGGATACAAGGAGATATAAAGTTGGAATAAATCAAATGACGAGATGAACAAAAGAAAGAAACATGCATAAAAGATCGATTCATGCAAAAGGAGAGAGAAGAGAGAGAGAGGAGGAACATACCTTGTCACGGTGTCACCTGAGCCTGAAGCGATACAGAGACTGCGTCCTGCGGAGTGTCGAAGCAGATTGTGTCGTCTGAAAAACTTGCCCTAACTTATATTTTTTATTTTTTTTTCCCCATCCCCTATGGGCCTCAAATTTTGAGGCCTAAGCCGAATTGGAGTTGCCCTGACTTAAATTTTTTATTTTTATTTTTTTCATCCCCTATGAAATTTGAGGCCCAAGCCAACCAAGACTTGCCGTAACTTAAATTTTTTATTTTTTATTTATATCTAAATGTAACTAATGTATCTCACCATAACATTATAACAAAATATAATAATAATTTTATTATAAAATTAAAATTGTAATGATCCTGATTTTTTTTCATTTTTTATTTTATGGTATTTTTTCCATTTTTTGGGGTTATTTTCGTCTGGTCTCATTTTGCGTGCTGGACACCGTGGTGTGCGCCGGGTGTGTTTGAGAGTTAGTTGAGGCACTTCCTTGAGTTCAGGACTCTTGGAAATGAATTGGTTGCCATTGCATTTCATGCATTATTTATACATGGTTATGTGTTTAATTGTGTGGTGGTATTATGTTGAGAGTATATATATAATTATTAAATTAAAGAAAATATATTTTTTATGCCACGGTACCCACCATGGTAATGAACCATTACAAATGGCCTTGGGATCAATTATAGACCATTAGTTTCTCTCTCTCTCTGCAACGATTTTCTCCCCCCCTCTTGGTTCTATATTTCTTTCTCTTTTTGTTACCATAAAGATTTTGACTTGCGCGTCGAGATCTACATTTTGATCGGAGCAGAGTTCCGTTTAGCCACCATTTGAATTTCGGGTTTTGGCTATGTTTTGGGGCATTTCTTTTTTATTGAGGTAGGGGTGTTCTAATCCACATCATCTTTGATTTTAGTGAATTTTCTTCCTTTAAATTATTTCTAAGCATGCTTAAATTAATTATTTTGCTTATGGTATGGAGGGCTTTGTGTATCAACGTGTTTTATGTAATTAGTTGGTTGAAAATATATATTAATTGGATTAATAAGATGAAGCATGTTAAGCTGAAAGTTGTGTTTGCGTTGAATGTGCATAAATGTTGAGATTCTATTTTGTCAATACATGAGTTGATTTTTTGTGAACTTTCTTGAAAGTATGCTATATATATTATTATGGTTGATTGCAATTTATGGAAAAATTGAATTTATTGTTATGGTTGAGGATGGCATGAAGCATTCATGCATTTCATTGGGAATGAAAGGGAAATGCCGTTTTAAAGCAAATGAAATAAATTTTGGAAAAATTATTTTGAAAAATGTTTACGAAAACCCGGACGCCTAGAAGGTGCCTGATGGTCCGTGGCGTTAATGTGATTTAGAGAGAACTAGGGAGAGACCCTAGAGTTGTTGAGCTACCTAGGCCTAGAACGACACCATGGAGGTGCCATGTGGTCGGGGATAGCTAACCAATCCTTCCCTCGTGGCGCCATAGAGGTGCTATGGGTCGGGTTGCATTAACGGTTTGGAACAGTGAAACGCAATTGTTTCGGAAAACAGGGAACGACATTGGCATGACATTGCACTTCATTAGCATACATTGTGTAATTTGTGGTTGGATGACCTATATACATACTTCTTGTTGTTGCTGTGATATCCCCTATGGCATGATCCCGTTTACTTGTATTTTATCCCTTGTATGGATTCACGGAGTCATTAAGAGGTGTGTCTTAAACACCTCTTACTGAGCGGTTGGCTCACCCCATCATATTATTATATTTTTTAGGTCACGAGAAGGAAGTGGCAGATGACGCTCCTCCACAAGTTTAAATGGGTTAGTGAACTGTTTTGACATCTTTTGTACTTGTGATCTCATTTTTTTGTATAAGCCTTGGATGGCACGTATATTATGTATCGACCTTAGAATTGACCATAGTGCCCTTAGACGACCTCGGGTTCGGGAAAGAACCCGGTTAGCGATTCGGACCTTCGGATTCGGGTCATTACAATAATATTATAATGAAAAGATTTAGATTTATAGATATATATTTAGGAATCAGTTAGAAATAAAATAAAATAGAAAAAGTAAAGTTGTTTTGATCTTCAAAAATTCCGAGCATAATAGGATTTATTTTAATTGGTAACTTTAAGTTTAGGAAAGAGTTAGAAATATAATAAAGTACAACGTTCAGATCCCTCTAGTAGAATGTCTTGCATCTCCGACGAAGGAGGAGGAAATTGTAATCAATAAAAACCCTAATAGGTTTCTTCTAAGCGACGCACAGAGAATCTCTTCTACAATTTCCTCCTCCTTCGCCAAAGAAGTAAGAGACTCTCTATTAGAGGGCTCTGAACGTTGTAGGAGAGACTCTTTGTGCGTCGCTTATAAGAAGCCTATTAAGATTTTTATTCCCCCTCCCCCCCCCCCCCCCAATTAGGGTTTTTATTACAACCACCCAACGGTAAGGAATGCCCGAAGCCTATTAGGGTTTTTATTGCCACCGCCCCAACGGTAAGGAATGCATGTGCGCTTTAGCTAGGTCTGAAAGGACATTAATATCTCTAGCAGCCCAACTGGATTGAAACTTGGGCTTTTAAATTTACAAATCGGGCTCAAATTAATTAGATTTTATTAAAACCTAATCTTATTCGGATTGGATTGGGTTTTAATAAAATTTAACTAATTTGAGCCCGATTTGTAAATTTAAAAGCCGATTGGATTGGGTTCAATCCGAACCCAACCCAATCTTACAAACACAATTAGGGATGGCAAATATCCCCAACCCGATGGGGAAACACCCTGCCCCCGCCCCAGCCCCATTTACAACGGGTTTGGAGAACCGTTTAGTTAAATGGAGTGGGGATGGTGATTTAAAAATATAAAAAAAAGGCCAGTTTTGGGGCGGGAACGGGGGAGTCCAATCCCCGCCCCGAGCCCGCCCCCGATTAGTATATAAAATTATTAATTTACCCATACTATGCTATTATATTTACTAAATTAACCTACACTATATATATGAATTTTGGAAACCCTGGACTACAGTTCACTTCCTATATTCCTAATGATAGTGAGGCAGGAGCAGGAGGAGGCACTAATAGATCTGACGAAAGAAAAAGAAAAAAAAAAATAGCAAGAGCCAAGGACGAAACAACTAGCAGATACTCGAAACTCCTACCATCCTACACTCCCTCCTGCCTCCTTCACCATCTTCATCCACCGCCTCAGCCGACATCCACCTGTTTTTGTAGATGTTTTTCTTTTCTTATTGGATGATCACTTACATTACGTTGTGTACTCAATCCTGGATACTTGAAAGTCCATTGATTTGTTCACACAATAAGATCCACCAATTGTTTTTCTTGCAATTTTCTGGTTTTGATTTGAAGTTATTAAAGATGAGATTACAATTTTGTTAATATTTAATTTTCTTAATATTTGATTAAAGAATCAGAGGAGTCCGCAAATCTCAACGAATCGCTTTGAGTTTAACATATATATATATTTGATTAATGGATGATGATACTGATTGATGATGTTATTTTGTTTTGTTTGGTTGACGTTTGCTTGAAAGTTCAGATTTATGTGGTTTTGTAGAATCAAAAAAATTAGAATTTTCAAATTTAATCAGTTATGGGACAGTTGCGGGGTGGGGTCGGGGCAAGCGGCGGCAGGGCTGGGGCGGTTATGGGGGTTGGGGGTAAAGAAAAATAAATTTTTGGGCGGTTTTGGGGGTGCAAAATTTAAATGGGGACGGGGATGGTGATTGAGACACCCGCCCCAAACCGCCCCATTGCCATCCCTAAACACAATACAACGTTGAACATAAACCCTTTCTTTTCTCTTTCCTCATCTTTTTTCTATCTCTAGATCGCCTCCCGATTCTTTTCCCTCTTTCCACTCCAATCAGTATCGATCTCTGAGCTTTTCGTTCGCGTTTGGTTTGCGTTTTGTTCTCTCCGCTGCTCTGTTGTGTGTTGATTCACGCTGCCGATTGTAATTACGTTTGTGATTGTATGTTTTCTTTGTTCTTGAAAATCGAAAATGCTGAAAACCAAGTTATTACAATTACATTTGGAGTTTAAGATGAGGTTTTAGTTTTCAAGGTTTTCTAATGAAGAATGTTTTTAATATATGAAGTTTTGCCTTTCCTGGATTGTTGGATGCTCTGTTCTAAACTTATTTCTCAATCAATCAATTTTTTGTGCTTGTGGGTTAATTTTATCATGCTAATTTGTCCATCCCTTTTCATGCATTCTTGTTTCATGGTAGTTTCAGCTTGTAGGTATTAGTGGGTTTGGTAATTTATCTTTAAAAACTTATATTAAATTTGTGCAAATTTAAGTCCTACCTATATATACACTAGTAAAACACACAAGCGATGTACGTGATGAGAAGTTATTTTATAATCTTAATTAATATAAAAATTGTTGATGCATAAATCTGTATGATCCGATCCAACGTCCTCTCCTATAACAAAGAGAGATGGTAACCCTTGTCGGCACCGGTGTGGTGCTTGCCAACGGTTCTCCAACGATCAAGTCAGAATGGAACCTATAAAATTTAAGCAGAAAATATACTATTTAATTCCTGCGTACCTCTTTGGTTTGACAGAACTATGCCCTTAGAAGGTAGACGTCATCCGTTAAGAGTTATTTAAACTAGGTCATCCCTCTTTATCCGTACCGTTAAAATACCCTAATTCAAATTATCCTTATCAATTGCCTCTCATTCCCGAGCTTGCTCATCAAGCGTGTGGAATGTCAGACACTAATTTTCTTCTTTTTGTCGGGTCAAGTTGTTTTTAATCAGAGCTAAGCATCTATTATTGCTTCAATCTTGTTCCTTTATCAATGGAAGTTGTTGTACTCAGCTAATCCACTAGAAGGAGTAGTTATTCCGACTTTCACTTAACTCGTTTGGTTAATAAGATAAGTAAAATTTGTCGAACTTCACTCAGCACACCTTTAATAAGGGAAGCATATTCTACAAGCTCCACCCAGCTCGCCTTTTAAAAAGGAAAGCAAATTTTACAAGCTTCACTCAGCTCGCCCTTTAATAAGGGAAGTCTATTTTACGAGCTTCACTCAGCTAGCCCTTTAATAAGGGAATAGGCTTTTTCTGAGCTTCATAGACTCACCCTTTAATAGGGAAGTAAGCTTTTACTAAACTTTATGAGCTTCTCCCTTTAATAGAGGAGGTTGATTTTATTAAGCTTCGTAAGTTTATACCTTTAATAAGGGAGGTTGATTTTACGAAGCTTCGTGAGGTTCTTCCTTTAATAAGGGAGATTGATTTTATTAAGTTTCGTGAGCTCTTCCCTTATAAAGGGAGTTCTGTATGTGTCTATATCTATCTAGACATTACAGATAAGGTTGACAAACCCAACCTTCTAACCAACTAACCCAATCAAACTCGTCCAACACACCATAATAAGTTTCTCCCTCAACCACCCATCTGTGTCGAACATATAGATACATATATTCAGTTGGACATCTCCTAACTTACTGGAAACTGACCAATAATAACATGCCACAGCAATAACTAAAATAAGCCATAAAGCATATCTGTGTATGCTATCACAACCGAATATAAGTCACAAGGTATCTCTGGAACAACTTATCATATCTCAACTGCTCCCACATGCCTCCTGATTGGTTGGTTAAAGCGCACAGGGGGAGGAGGGGTGGCAATAAAAACCAATACAAATCTTTAATCAGACATACAAGATTTCTATTGGTTTACACTTCCAGCCTCATTTTCTTGATACTGTAGAACCTTCTAAGGAACACACACTCGTCGCTTTTTATGCTCCATGCGAACCTTATCTATCCAATTTGCCTTTCCCCATGGATTGATCAACTCTTGATTGATTTTCTAGTCAGTGTTAAACGTATAATCCTTGTGATGATATCCCAAATGATGGCAGAGAGCCACAAAGTATTGAAATCTCTCTTTCTCATTCAATAACAAAGGGTGTTTCAATAGACGGGATGCTCTGTAAAATTAACATGACCAATTACTACTGACTTGAAGCAATAAATGAATCTAAGATTGAAAAAACTAGTATATACCAAGAGAAATAAATAAAAAAACTTGGAGCAATAAAAGAATATAAGGGCAATAATTGAATAGATTAAAAGACATGATATAAAATTCAAAGAACATACTTAGAGGTCTTGTAATGGGAGAATGGATTCCGATCGTGAGGCCTAGACGGATGATTGTTTAGGCCAATGTGACGGAATATGAACTTTTTGAAATTTTCCACGTCTTCCGTTTTGCATCTTTCCTCCCCGCATAACATATGAGTGGTCATGCAGAACATTTCCATGGGCTCTACCCATTTTGTGTAGATACCCTATTGTATCTAGAATGTTTCTGGAATTGATAATAAAAAATTGTATCATTATAATATACTACTCAAACAAAGAAAGGAGTTTTTTGAAATAAAAAAAACATTCTTACATCATCGATTCAATCCAGAACTCCTTGAATTCATAGTCGTCGGATGTGTTTACAAAAAAAGGCTGACCCTCAGGATGTGTTTCCAAGCTTCAACCACTCAACAAAATAGGAATCAAATCCTTCATGACTAGTCACAATCACTTCTTGGTTGAAGTCCACAGCAACATCAGTCGGTCTCAACAGATATGGAGTTCTGAATTCCTTCAACATCAGTATTGAATCAATGGCTACTCTCTGATATCTCCATTTTCTGCGCAAACACCAAAATCGAGCATCTTCTTTCCTTCGTCCATGTTTTACTATTACTCCCTTCCACAGTTTTTCCGCCCAGGCTTCTTTGCATTCAATTCAGAATAATAGCTCCTCACACCAGATCTGTAACCTTCTAGTATTGATTCTTTATCCTAAAAATTTCAACATTATAACAATTAGAACTAAATTTGAATTACAAATTGAAATAACATTAGGCTAGAACTTGAATTATACCTTAGCTTTACTGACCAAGTCTTAGCCTGTTCTCTCATCTTTATATATGAACGGTCTATTTGGTAATCTTCAAGATCAGGTTTTGGTTCTTTATCGAGATCCATAGTACCAACATCAAAACAATCATACTATTAAAAAATAAAAATAAATTACGGTAATTAATCACAAATCACAGAAGTCAGTCACAATAACACAGAATAACATAATTGCAACCCCATAAGTAACTAAACAGTGTATGTATTTCAGGGTGGAACCCAAAATCACCACTCATTTTGCATTGTTCCTTCATACAATATACATTCTCAGTTCAATCACTTTTGCATAATTAATCTCATCAAAATATAACATAAACAAAAATAAATTATACGTTAACAGTAATCACTAAGGTTACAGAAGTGAAACAATAACAAAATAATTAACATTAGA